TATGTATGTATGTATGTATGTATGTATGTATGTACGTAGGTAGGTAGGTAGGTAGGTAGGTAGGTAGGTATGTAATGTATCTAAAACAGTTATATATATATATATATATATATATATACAAATATATGTATAAATATGTCGAGAATGCTGGCGGCGCATCACCAGCCGCTCCCTGGGAGTTTGACGCATCTGGTCGGTCGTCTCTTGGAGGCAGTTTTGAAGCCTCTTTGGGGGCTTTTGGGTGCCGTTTGGGGGCCTCTTGGGGCCTCTATTGGGCCTTTTGGGGGCTTCTTGGAGGCCTGCTGGCGGTCTGGGAGGTCCCGTTTGGGCAGAAAGCTGGACATGCCACTTCGAGTTCTGGCTCTAGGGCCCTCTTGGGGCCGTCATGGGCCGTCTTCGGCGCGACTTCGGCCGCCTTGGGGCGGTCTTGGCACGTTTTGGGACCCTCTTCGGGGTCTCTGGGGCGATCTTGGGGCGATCTTGGGGGCTTGTAGGCTCGTCGTGGACGCTCAGAACCCCAAACGTCGCGCATGCTAGAAGTATAGGTGGCCCCACAGGAATGGGGCGATTTTTGCCTTTCGGGGCATCCCTGGAAGGCCTCTTGAAGCCCTCTTGGGGCGTGGGCCTCGTGGACCGTCTCAAGGCCATCTTGGGGCGGTCTGTGGGCGACGGCCCGGCTCCATTTGCAGGCTCCCAGTTCCCGGTTCCCAGCTCCCGGTTCCGGGTTCCCGGTTCTCGGTTCTCGGTTCCCAGTTCCCAGTTCCGGCTCTCGGTTCCAAGTTCACGGTTTCTTTCATTATTGTGCATTTGTAGTGGGGGGAGGAGGAGGAGCAGAGGAGGAGGAGGAGGAGGAGGAGGAGGAGGAGGAGGAGGAGGAGGGGGAGGATATCGACGATGAAGATGACGACCATAGGACGAATTGGTGAGGAGGATCGGGATGGGAATTGGTTTTGGGATGATAATGATATTTCTGATGATGACGCCAATGACGAGAACGAGGAGGACGGCGAGGTGGATGACAAGGAGGATGAAGACGAGAGGCAATGAGGAATGAGGAATGAAGAATGAGGAATGCGGAATGAGGGAGGAGGAATGAGGGATCATGATGATGACCATGATAATGATGATGATGACGACGATGACGATGACGATGATGACGATGACGATGACAATGATGCTGCTAATGATGATGATGATGATGACGATGTTGCTGCTGCTGCTGATGCTGATGGTGTTTAGATGATGTTGGTGTTGATGATGATGATGATGATGATGATGATTGTGATCATGATGTTGATGATGCTGATGATGCTGATGACGATGACGATGATGAGGCGGTGGTGGTCATGATGATGATTATGACGATGATGATGCTGCTGATGCTGATGATGGTGATGCTGATGATGATGATGATGATGATGATCATGATAAGGATGATGCTGCTGCTGCAGCAGATGATGATGATGGTGATGATGATGATGATGATGATGATGAAGGTGTTTTTGATGAACAAGTGGTGATGCTAATTTTGATAATGATGCCGATGCTGTTCATGATGATGATACTGATGATTATCTGGTGATGATGATGGTGATTATGACGATGCTAATGACGATGACGATGATGATGCTGATTATGATGATGATGATGATGCTGATGCTGATGCTGCTGCTGATGATGATGCTGATCATGATGTTGATGACGATGACGGTGACGACGACGATTATGATGATGCTGATGATGATGCTGATGATGATGATGCTGATGATGCTGATGATGCTGATGGCGATGCTGATGCTGATGCTGATGATGATGATAGATGGTAAATGATGATGGCGATGATGACTGTGATAAAGATGATGATGATGATGATGATGATGATGATGATGATGATGATGATGATGATTATTATGATGATGATGATGATGATGATGATGATGATGATGACGATGATGATGATGATGCTGACAGTGATAATCATTATGATGATGATGATGATGATGATGATTATGATTCTCATGATGATGATGGTGCTGGTGAAGATGATTCAGATGATGCTGATGCTGATGATGATGATTCTGCTATTGCTCATGATGATGATGATTGATGATGATGATGGTGATGATGATGATGCTGATTCTGATGATGATGATGACGATGATGCTGATGATGATGCTGATGCTGATGAGATGGTGAGGATGACGATGATGATGATGAAGACTATGATGCTGCTGCTGATGATGATGATGATGATGCTGTTGCTGCTGCTGCTGATGATGATGATGCTGCTGCTGATGATGATGTTGGTGTTGCTGCTGCTGATGCTGATGATGATGATGCTGATGCTGATGCTGCTGATGATGATGATGATGATGATGACACTTATGATGATGATGATGATGATGATGATGATGATGATGATGATGCTGATGCTGATGCTGATGCTGATGCTGATGCTGATGCTGATGAGGACGATGGTAATGCTGATGCTGATGATGATGCTGATGCTGTCGATGATGATGAGATGATGATGGTGAGATGATGATGATGATGATGATGATGATGATGATGATGATGTGATGATGATGATGATGATGATGTTTGGGTGATGATGATGATGATGGTGATGCTGATGATGATAATGAGGATGACGATGATGATGATGCTGCTGCTGATGATGATGATGATGATGATGATGAGGATGAGGATGAGGATTGAAGATGATGATGATGATGATGATGATGATGATGATGATGATGATGTGATGCTGATGATGATGATGATTCTGATGATGAGATGATGATGATGACGTGATGATGATGATGATGTGTGATGGTGTGATGGTGATGATGGTGATGATGGTGATGATGAGTGATGCTGATGATGATGATGATGATGAGATGATTGATGCTGATGGATGCTGATATGATGTGCTGGTGAGCTGATGCTGATGCTGATGCTGATGAGGATGATGATGATGATGGGATGGTGGGTGGTGGATGATGATGCTGATGATGATGATGATGTGATGATGCGATGATGTGATGCTGCTGATGCTGATGCTGATGATGATGTTGGTTGATGATGATGATGATGATGATGACGCTGAATGATGATGATGATGATGATGATGATGATGATGAGGAGAGGATGAGATGAGGATGAGGATGAGGATGAGGATGAGGATGAGGATGATGATGATGATGATGATGATGATGATGATGACCGACCCGACGACGACGACGACGACGACGAGATGATGAGATGATGATGAGTGATTGATGATGATGATGATGATGATGCGGAGGATGAGGAGAGGAAAACACGTAATGAGGAAGTAGGTAGGATGAGGAGGAAGATCATTGGGGAGGAAGGGGGAGGAGGAGGAGGAGGAGGAGGAGGAGGAGGAGGAGGAGGAGGAGGAGGAGGAGGAGGAGGAGGAGGAGGGGGAGAAGGAGAAGGAGGAGGAGGAGGAGGAGGAGGAGGAGGAGGAGGAGGGAGTAGGAAGGAGTAGGAGAAAGTAGGAGGGAGTAGGAGTAGCCGGAGGCCAGAGGAAGGAGGGTGGAGGGAGGAAGGGGGAGGATTGAGTAGGAGGAGCTGAAAGAAGGGACCATCTCCCCTGGGCACAGCACTGCAGCGAGACGGCTCCCTCCCCCGGCCCCGGCCAGCTCCCGGCTTGCCTCCGTGCGCCTCCCTGCCCGTCGCACGCCCCCGGACCTCCTACGCCGCGAGAAGAGGAAGGGAAGACCTGCGGCGGCTCTCCTCGCGACCACCCTCTTGGGCCGCCCTCGGGCCTCCTGCTGCTGCTCTTCCTCTTCCTCGTCCTCACGCCCTGCAGGTAGTGATGGAGCGAGGGAACCCTCCTCCTCTCCCTCGTCCTGCAGTGGCCCCCCCCCCTCGTGGGGTAGGATCAGCGGGCGTTCCAGGCATGCCAAGGGCTGTGGGAACTGATTCGCAGAGGCTCTGCCAGAGTCGTAGGGCGCCGCCGCTGCTGCTGACCCGTCCCTCAAGCGCCTTCATTATCGGTACCTCCTCCTCCTCCTCCTCCTTCTCCTCCTTCTCGAGGTCAGGATTTGAACATGTTTTTGCTCTGTTGGGGCCTGTAGCGCCCTCTCGTCGCCACGGCTTCACCACCCCCCAAGGAGATTCGGGCCAGAACGCGCGCCAGGACACGGGACGGGCCCTGGTGTCGACCCTGGTGTTAAGTTGGGTATGTCCCTCTACAGGGGGAATATCATTGAGGGACGAATTTTGAGTATTTTCCCATTTTTTGAATTTTTTGGGTATTTATAATGTATAATTTTTCGTCCAGACTCCGCCTGTAGGGGGACAGGCCCGACCTAATGGTGGGCCTGGCTCGAGACCTCGAGCGCCACGAAGAAAAACTGTGGCGCCCAGTCTTGCCTTGCCTGGGCCTCCAGAGTCCCGCTTTTCGGGCCCTAGGCGGCCCCGCCGCCGGCGACGACGATGAGGCCGGTGACGGCGGCGACGGCGGCGGCGGCCGCAACCGACCCCCCGGCGGCGTGACAGGAGCAGAAAACATTCTGGAGCCTCGATCCTTGACGCTCGACGCTCGATCCCTGTTCCGAGGGCAACGAACGGTGCGACCTCTCCGCGCCTTCAACCAGGACGGAAAAGACACGCAGACACAAACAACCGTCGATTCCCGGAAAAACGTGAGAAACGAGGGGAAGAGGGGGGGAAGACGACAATCCAGAAAACATGGAAAAATCTGGGGAACCCGGGGCTTCGTGTCTCTTTCTCCGTGTGTGCCTGGGCCCCTCTCTCAACATCCCCTCCCCGGACCTGCCCCCGACCACGTTCCGTCCCGCCTCCCGAGGCGGACCCCGCCGCGGCGACCAAGGCCCCGGCGAGCGAGGGCAGGAGGAGTAGGACGGCGGCGGCGGCGCCGACGGCGAGGGGGACCCCGTGAGGCGCCGCCGAGGGGCGCGCGGGCTCGTGCGGGGTGTCCGCGGCCGTTCCGTCCTGGCGTGGCGCAGGTTCAAGGCGACGCCGCAGGAAGAGCTGTGCAGCAAGGCGGCCGCCTGGAGTCCGGCCAGCGTGCCCGGGCGGCCGTCGTCGTCGTCGTCGTCGTCGTCGCCGTCGTCGTCGTCGCCGTCGCCGCCGCCGCCGCCGCCGCCGTCGTCGTCGTCGTCGTCGTCGTCGTCGTCGTCGTCGTCGTCGTCGTCGTCGCGGAGGAGGGCGAGAGCGGCGGATGGTGGGGTGGCAGAGGGGGCGGATGATGAGATGATGATGATGATGATGATGATGATGATGATGATGATGATGATGATGATGATGATGATGATGATGATGATGATGATGATGATGATGGTGATGATGATGATGATGATGATGATGATGATGATGATGATGATGATGATGATGATGATGATGATGACGATCATGATGATGATGATGATGATGAGGGATGAGGCTGATGATGATGCTGTGATGATGATGGTGCTGATGATGATGATGATGATGATGATGATGATGATGATGGTGATGGTGATGATGATGATGCTGATGATGATGCTGATGCTGATGCTGATGCTGATGCTGCTGCTGCTGCTGATGATGATGATGATGGTGATGGTGATGATGATGCTGATGATGATGCTGATGCTGATGCTGATGCTGATGCTGGTGCTGATGCTGATTCCGATGATGATGATGATGATGATGATGATGATGATGATGATGGTGCTGATGATGATGATGATGATGATGATGATGATGATGATGATGATGATGATGATGCTGATGCTGATGCTGATGCTGCTGCTGCTGCTGATGATGATGATGATGATGATGATGATGATGATGATGCTGATGCTGATGCTGATGCTGATGCTGATGCTGATGCTGATGCTGGTGCTGATGATGATGCTGCTGTTGTATGTTTAAGGCGATTTTCCCAACCACCGATTCACCTCCAGACCGACATCCAGGAGCCACGCGTGTGCGCAAGGGCTCCCCCCTGATTGAGTGCCCAGGTTTAACCCCCAGACCGGTGTGATCCGCCACGCCTGCGGCGAAGAAGAAGACGATGCCTTCAAAGTCCCCGAGGGGAACTGCTGGACCTGGGTCCAGCAGGAGAGACGGTCCCGCTGTCATTCGTCCGCTGATCCCCATATGAGAGAGGAAGTGAAACAAACCCTGCGTACAGGGGAACGTGCTGCTGCGATGGCGGGGCTTTTTGTCCCGTCCTGGTGGTGGTGCCCCTGGCGGGCTTGGACTGCCGCTTCCACCCCAGGCGCCGGAGCTCAATGACCAATGACCCCAAACAGTGGCCCTCGGAAACCCCGGGACAAGCCAGCGGTGGTACATGCGATGACGGTGCAAACTCTGCCGGGGGAAACCCGCGGACGAGTGGAGGGAAGGAAAAGGGGGAAATAGCTGTGGAGGTGGTAGATGAGGGGGGCATGCAATGACGGAGTAGACGATGTAACGAACTCAGATGGAACAGTTCTCGACCGAACTTGCACCCACCGACGGCAACCTTGCCCGGCTTGGGTACAGAAGTATATGACGCATGTTTAAGGCGATTTCTCCGACCACCGATTCACCTCCAGACGGACATCCAGGAGCCTCGCGTTTGTGCAAGGGCTCCCCCTGCTTGAGCGCCCGTGCCTAGACCCCAGGCCGGTGTGATCCGCCACGCCTGCGGCGAAGAAAAATAGTATGACGATGATGACGATGATGATGTTGATGGTGATGCTAATGATGGTGATAATGATGATGATGATGATGATGATGATGATGATGATGATGATGATGATGATGATGATGATGATGATGATGATGATGATGATGATGATGATGATGATGATGATGATGATGATGATGATGATGATGATGATGATGATGATGATGATGATGATGATGATGATGATGATGATGATGATGATGATGATGATGATGATGATGATGATGATGATGATGATGATGATGACCGTGATGATGATTATTCGATTCGATTGGATTCGATTCGATTCGAGGCGGCTGGAGGCCCAACTGGAACTTATGTGTGAGGAAGCAGGTGGCGCATTGCGAGGGCGGCAGGGTGCGCTGGCTCGGTGAGCAAACGCGGGCTGGAGGGAAACACCACCGCGTGGGTGGAAAACCTCCTCTTCCTGAGTCGGGCAAGTGACAGATATGAAGTGAACCCAGCCGTGTACAGAGGAGCACGCGAGGCCCGATTCTGGCAAGGCCCGATTCTGGCAGAAACTAAGAGCGCTAGCCGGGGGCGCTGTATATGGAGGCGCCCGAACACGTCGCTCGGGGAAATATGAAACGACCACGCTGCAGGCAGGCAGGTCCACGATCGTTCGGATAATCGCCAAACTTCCCTGCCCGTGCAAATTGGCTCTAAGCGGCGGTGCCCCCTGTAGGGGCATCCGCGGGCTGCGCATCTGCCGCAGGGCGCGGCGACATAGAGCGCGCGTGCGTGTTTCGCCCCGCGCAACGCGGCCGCGGTTGGACGCCGCGTCGCCCCTGTCGGCTTCGGCGACCTGGGAGGAAGAAACAGGAACATCTCCCCGCATCATTTGGGCCCTGCACGGCTTGTTGGAGAGTTGGAGGGGGTGGACTGCGCCGGGGCGGGGCACTTGGGGCCGCGGCATTCCTTCTGGCACTCAGGGCACGTCAGAATCGGGACCAGTACGGCCATCCGGCCAGGCGGTGGAGGCCGCTTTCCACGCTGCTGTCGTGAGGTCGCCTAGGGCTGCGGCGCGTCACACGAAAAGCGCGAAATCCATGTCAAAGGCGCCTCCACCTCGCGGGATCCGAAACAATGAACTCGCGCCAGATTCCCAGGAAGTGGTACGGGTCCCCGAGGGTCTGGGTCTGTGTCGGAAAAGCGGCTGCCAGCTGCCTGAGGTTTGACAAGAGCTGCTGGGCAGACACGGGCTTGGGCATAGCGGCGATGCAGCGCAGCACAAGCGGCGGAGCTCGCAGTTGCGAGCTTAGGCCTGCAAGGCGTTGCGACTGCGTCAGAGAGGCCAGCGGGGGCGCCTGCAACGCGGTCCGCACCTCGAAGTCCGACGGCGTGCCAGAGGCCCCGGATCGCATCGAGCTGTGAATGCGACGCAGCACTCGCGGGTGCTGGGCCTCGATCGGGAGCTACCCCTTGTCCATCTGACCACGCCATGCCGATGCTGCGAAGAGGTTGGACGAGAGAACGAGGGAGTTGGCGAGCATCATCCTCGTGGTCTCCGCGATGGCCTTGGGGCCGAAGGTGGGGGCGGCCGGCGGAACGAAGGCCTGCTGCGCCTTCGCCGCCTTGCGGCGGCCGTCGGCCTGGTGGCCGCCCGCGTCCTGATGGATCGTGCCCAGGTGGGTGAAATAGTGAGCGATCTCCAGGTCGTGGCCGCCTGGGACATGAGCTGCTCGTATCTGGATGAGCAAACTAGGGGTGGAGGGAGCGAGGGCTCGGCTCGAGCTCCGCCACGCACGGTCAGCGGCCCGTGCACAGGTTTTTTTTTTTGGTGGCGCTTCAAGTGAATTTTGCCCTCTACCACTTCGCCTCCCAAGAGCCCCCCCCAAGCACAAGCGGAAAGAAACGCGCACGGAAACGCCAACGACGACGCATTTCCCTTGACCCAGGACCAGCAGGGATGATCATTAGGCTGCTATAGTTCAGTGTGAAGCCATGTGCCAGCATGCGCTTGTGCACTACATCTACAAGGTTTCCCGACCAATCCATAACGTCCTCCAACTCTTGCGACTGCAAGACGAGAGCGTCGTCTACAAACGATATGCCTCCCAAGTTTGTCGTCTCAACACCTTTTGCGAACTTTTTTTTCTCATCCAGTACGTCCATCTTCAATGCTGATTGCATGTCGTGAAGCTCCTGAGCCATGGCGCCAAGCGGGTAGCTGAAGTATACATTGAAGATCGCGTCCGCGAGCGAACTGCCTGGCTTAGATCCTCTTCTAGAGCGTGCTAGACTTGGTGATTCTTAACGGCAGAATGCGTATCTCGATGACCTTCGATTAGTAGTGCAAGTATATGTGGTGCCTGTCGTAGCTCAGCCAGCGCACCAGGCTGGCTCAAGATAAACGAGACTAGCGGCATCAACGCAAGCAGTATCTCTTGCTTTAGGCTAGCACATTCTCAGTCGGCGCAGTCATCCACCGCAGGCAAGACCAACGACCGTATGGTGAGGAAGAAGGCTGTCTCGAGGCCCACGAAATAAAGACTGCCGAGCGTCTTTTGCATGTGAAGTACTGAAGAAAGCCTGAAGCAATATGGAGAAGCTGTCCTGTACCGCTGCCGGCTCTTCCTCCGCACTGAGTGTTCTTCAATCTGACGCTCATGCAGTCCGCCAGCCCGTCACGCAGTACGCCGCGGTTCTAGCATTTGCTGATGCTGCTACTAAGGAGGATCGAGCTGTAGTTCACCATTTGCGTGGTCGAACCCGCTTCCTGGAACAGCGCGAAGACCAATCCATTTTTTCACGCCTATGGTTCTTGCCGTTAGCGTCAGCTCCTCTTTCGTGCTCCTTCTCCTCCCTCTGCTCCTCCTTCTCCTGCTTCTCCTGCTCCGCCTCCTCCGCCTCCTCCTCCTCCTCCTCCTCTTCCTATTCCTCCTCCTTCCCCCCTCCTCCTCGCCCCTCTTCCTGCCGCTCCCCCCCCCCCCCTCGCAGTGCCCCGCCTCCGCGCTTTCACGCCTCCGCGCCTCCTCCGCGCCCCCTCCGCGCCCCCGCGCCCCCGCGCCCCCGCGCCCCGCAGACGGCGCCCATCATAGACTACATGCTGAGCTACCACGTCAACCTGACCAAGGCCGCCCCCCGGGCGCCGCTCCCGCGCGCGGCGCTGGATGGCGGCGAGCGGCCCCTCCCGAGCCGCCGCCGTCCGCCGCGCCCTCCTCCTCCCCTCCTCCCCCTCCCTTCCTTCCTCCTCCTCCTTCCCCCTTCCCCTCCCTTCCTCCTCCTCCTCCTCCTCCCTCCTTCCCCTGGGCGGGCGTCCTCCTCCTTCCCCTCCCTTCCTGTGCTCTCCTCCTCCTCCTCCTCCCTCCCTCCTCTGCGGGGGTGGTTTCGGTCATGGTCGTGGCGGGGCGGGAGGCTGCTGTGCGGCCGAGTGCAGCTCCTCCTCTCTCCCTCCCCCGCGTTCTGCCCTTCTGTTGGCTTTCTTCCTCCATTCTCGCTCCTCCCCTTCCTTCTCTGCTCCTTCTCCCTTCTCCCCCTCTTCTGTCTTTTCTCTTCCTCCCCTCCCCTCCCCCTTCCCCCCTCCTTTTGTGCTCGTCCTCATTTTGTGCTCCGCCTACCCTGCGCGCTGCCCAGGTGGACGGCCTCCTGAATACCACTGTCAGGATACTTCCGATCCTGAACATGGCGACGCCAGAGGCGCCGCAGGCGCCCCCCCCAGCCGTATCAGGTTGATTATCTGAAGGCTGCCGCCTCTGCCGCCGACCCCAATTGAGCGACGAATGTTTGATCCGTTAGTGGTCGGAGTACTTTTCCGAGCACGGCAGGAAGGGTTCAGATGAGTCTCCAGATTCTCCGTTGCATCTCGGATTTCTTTTGGGGGCAGTTTGGGAGCCTCGTGGGGTCGCTGGTTCGGACATGGTGGTGGCCTGGTGGTGGCGTGGTGGGGGGTCAGGGTCGGTTCCGGGCGCGGAAGTGTCGGGTGGGCGGCCTCAAGAACAGAGCTCCCATGAGGTTTTCAGTTGGACCTGGTGGTGGCCTGGTGGTGGCGTGGTGGTCAGGGTCGGTTCCGGGCACGGAATTGTCGGGTGGGGGGTCCCAAGAACAGAGCTCCCAGGAGGGTGCGGGGGTCGGACCTGGTGGTGGCCTGGTGGTGGCGTGGTGGGGGGTCAGGGTCGGTTCCCGGCGCGGAATTGTCGGGTGGGGGGTCCCAAGAACAGAGCTCCCAGGAGGGTGCGGGGGTCCATGTACGTGTGTATTGTGTACACATATTGTGTATGTCTGCATGCATGCATGTATGTATGCATGCCGTTATATAGAGGGAGGGATGTATAAATAGACGGACAGGTGCCTATATATAAGTATACACATATATACACATATATACATCTATATATGTGTATATATATGTATATTGACAGGGCTACATGTCGACATGTATATGTGTACCGCGTTCCGGTATATCGATACATTTATATACGTAGAGAGATAGGCAGAGGGAGGCGCTAATCAAACGTAGTTGCTTAACTGTAACTGTTTAAATATGTGAGCATTTGGAGAAGTGTGAGAGACCGATCCACTCATACATACATGGACATTTAAACTATGCGAAGCTGCACACATACATGTATACATGTACGTATACTCACAGGAAAAAGGTACACCTACAGGGAGACACTGAGATACACACGTAATGAAAAACGTGTATTTATACAGAGATAGATCGCCGAAAGAGAGAAAGAGCGAGAGAGGGAGACAATGAACGAGCGAGCGAGAGAGGTGGAGAGAGGGAGCACGGCCCCATTTCTGTATATATATATATATGTATATAGCTTTATACAGGTATATGTGTGTATATAAAACATCGTTATCGATCTACGATTTACACTTGCAAGTGTAAACGCACATGTCTATGTATACAATTATGTTGACATTGTTGTACATTTGTGTGCAACTATATATATATATATATAGAGGCATATAAACAAGTAAGAGACACCAGCAACACAATCAGATGGAGAGAGGGAGAGAGAGGAGAGAGTAAGAGAGAGAGAGAGAGAGAGAGAGAGAGAGAGGGAGAGAAGGAGAGAGTCCAGGATGCGATAACTCGGAGCTGGGAGCCAGGAGGCGCGGTGCTGGGCACCAGGAGCCGAGAACCGTGAACCGGGAATTGAGAACCGGGATTTTGGAACCGAGAGCCGGGAGTAGGGAACTAGGAACTGGGAACTGGGAGCGGGGAAGGAACCTGGAACCAGGAACCAAACAGGGAAGCTGCAGGGAGCCAGGAATTGGGAACAGGGGGCCCGGAACCCAGAAGCGGGAACCAGGAACCGGGAACCGCGGGAGCCAGGAACCAGGAGGCGGGAATTGGGAACCGGGACCGGGAACCGGGACCAGGCTGAACCAGGAACCGCGAACCGCGAACCGCGAACCGGGAACCTGGAACTGGGGACCGGGAACTGGGAACCATGGACCGGGAATTGGGAACCGGGAGTAGCCGGGAACCGGGAACCTGGATTGGGAACCGGGGACCAGGAATTGGGAGCTGGGAGCTGGGTTTCGGGATTCGGGAGCCGGGAACCAGGATTTCGGCGACCAAAGGATATTATTTTCTCCTCCCCCTCCTCCTCCTCCTTCTTCCCCCCTGCTCCCCTGCCATGCTACTCTGGCTCCTGCTTTCTTCTTCCTCCTCCTCGTCTCCTTCCTTTCTCCTCCGCTTACTCCCCTGCACCTCCCCACTGCCTTGCGGCCGAAGGAGGTCGCCACCTTCCTGGAGAACATGGTGGAGCTGGGCTACCGGGAAACCACCGCCCGCGAGAGGCTCGCGCGCTTCCCCCCTCCCGCGGGCGGGAAGGAGGCGGGAGGACGATGATGATGATGATGATGATGATGATGATGATGATGATGATGATGATGATGATGATGATGATGCTGATGATGATGATGATGGTGATGATGGTGATGATGGTGATGATGATGATGCTGATGGTGATGATGATGATATGGATGATGATGGTGATGCTGCTGCTGCTGATGGTGGTGGTGGTGATGGTGATGATGCTGACGATGATGATACTGATGCTGATGACGATTATGATGGTGATGGTGAAGATGTTGTTGTTGTTGTTGCTGTTGTAAATGATGTGTTTGTTGTTGGGATTATAGTTGATGGTGGTGTGATTGTTGACGTTGTTACTGTTGATAATGATTATGCTGTCGTATGTTGTTGTTGATGGTGTTGTTGTGACTGTTGTTGTATGTTGTTGCTGTTGCAGTAGGGTTGCTGTTGCCGTCGTTGTTGCTGTTGTCGTTGTTGTTGCTGTTGTTGCTCTTACTTGTTGTTGTTGTTGATGATGTTGTTGTCGTCGTTGTTGTATTGTTGCGGTTGTTGTTGTTGTTGTTGTTGTTGTTGTTGTGTTGGGTGTTGTTGCTGTTGTTGTTAATTCTGTTGTTGTTGGTTTGTTGTTGTTGGTGTTGTTGTTGTTGATGCTGAGTTTGATGTTGTTGACGACTGTGGTGTTGTTGTTGCCGCTGTTGCTGCTGTTGCTGCTGCTGTCGTTGTTGCTGTTGTTGTTATTATTATTATTGTTGCCGTTGCTGTTGTTGTTGATGTTGTTGTTGTTATCTCATCATTGAAGAATAGTTATGGTTGATCCCCTTCAGGCGATCAGTGTTTTTCCATTGAAGTTTTTCCCCCGTGGCTCGCATTTTTTTAAAATACAGAAGGGAAAGTCACGGGGCTCAAACTGTGTTGTTGACACCCAGATTACAACAACAACGGCTCCAGCCTAAGACTCCCTCACAATTTAGTCAGGACCCCCGCTCCCGTCTGAGATTCCCGGAATCTTACTCAGGAATCGCGCTCTCGCTTGGGACCTCTTTGCAATTTATTCAGGAATCGCTCTCTCGGCGCTCTGGAGTCGCGCTCTCGCTGGGGACTTGCTTGCAAATTACTCGGGAGCCGCGCTCTTGTGTTGGAATTCCTCGCAATTTACTCAAGCGCCGCGCTCCCGACACTCAGGCACCCAGGAGTCGCGCTAACGCTTATGACTCCCTCGCAGCTTATTTAGGAATCTGGATCTCGCTCCCTTCGTGGCCCCGTTGCAGTCCTTCGTGGCCCCCTCGCTGCCCTTCGTGGGCCCGTTGCAGCCCTTCGTGGCCCCCTCGCTGCCCTTCGTGGCCCCGTTGCAGCCCTTGGTGGCCCCCTAGCTGCTCTCCGTGGACCCGGCCCCCTCGCTGCCGTTCGTGGCTCCGTTGTCGCCCTTTGTGACCCCCTTGCTGCCCTTCTTGGCCCCGTTGCAGCCCTTCGTGGCCCCCTCGCTGCCCTTCGTGGCCCTGTTGCAGCCCTTCGTGGCCCCCTCGCTGCCCCTCGTGGCCCCATACATCTATGCTCTTCGTGGCCCCCGCTCGTTCGCGCCCGTCGTGGCCCCATATGCATGCGCCTCGTGGCCCCGCTGCTGCCCTTCGTGGCCCCCTCGCTGTGGCCCCGTTGCTGCCCTCAGTGGCCCCGCTGTCGCCCTTTGTGGCCCCGTATGCGAATGCCCTTCGTGGCCCCCTCTCGCTCGCGCCCTTTGTAGCCCCATATGCATGCGCCTCGTGGCCCCGCTGTCGCCCTTTGTGGCCCCTTCGCTGCTCTTCGTGGCCCCGGTGCTGCCTTCAGCGGTCCCCTCGCTGCCTTTCGCGGCCTCGGATTTTATGCCCTTCGTGGCCCACGCCTCTGCGGCCCAATCTACGTATGCCCTTCGTGGCCCCCGCTCGTTCGCGCCCTTCGTGGCCCCATATGTATGCGCCTCGTGGCCCCGCTGTCGCCCTTTGTGGCCCCTCGCTGTCCTACGTGAGCCCGGTGCTGCCTTCAGCGGCCCCCTCGCTGCCTTCCCTGGCCCCGCTGTCGCCGTTCGTGGCCCCCTTCCTGCCCTTCGTGGCCCCGCTGTCGCTCTCGCTGTCGCTGTCGCTGTCGCTCTCGCTCTCGCTCTCGCTCTCGCTTTCGCTCGTCGTCGTCGTCGTCGTCGTCGTGGTCGGTCCACTGTCCGTCCCTCTTGGGGTCGGGCTGCCGCCGGTCAGCGCTGCCGCTGGCCAGGCCGACGGTCCGCGGCCGCCCCGCCGCTTGCTTGGACTTGGCCTGCAGGTGCAGATTAGAGCGAACAGTCTTAAGATGCTCGTATTTGTTGTTGTCGTTGTTGAATTCGCAGTTCTGAAGAATAATTACTGCTGGTCCCCTCTCACTGGTGCAGGCTGTATTTTGTCAATCAAAGTGTGACCCTCGACGCTCGTACTCGGTTTTTTGACAGGGAAAGTCTTGGTGCTCAAACTGTGCCCCTGGTCCCCCGGATTACAACAACAACGGCTCCCGCTTAAGACATCTTCACAATTTACTCAGGACCCCCGCTCCCGCTTGAGACCTCCTCACAATTTACTCAGGATCGGTGCTCCCGCCTGTGACTTCCTCGCAATTTAATCAGGACCCCTGCTCCCATCTGAGACTTCCTCACAATTTACTCAGGAACGGCGCTTCCGCTTGAGACTTCTTCTTCGCAATTAATGAAGATTCCCGCTCCCGTCAGAGAGCCTTTCACATTTTATTAAGGAATTGCGCTCTCGCTTGTGACTTCCAGGCGATTTATTCAGAAATCGCGGTTTCGACGCTCAAGAAAGCTGCGCCAAGGACGCCGTCACAATTTAGTTAGGAATCGCCGTCTCGCCATATTCAGGCATCCCGCTTGAATGTCCCACCCGCCCGACCCGCCCGTCAGGGGATCGCCCGCCTGTCGTGGGCTGCCGCCCGAGACTTCCTTCAGGAACGGCGCTTTCGCCTAGGACTTCCTCAAACGTTCACGCTCTTACCTTCCTGCTCCTCCTCCCTCTCCCTCCTCCCTCCTCCGCTCCTCCCGTCTCTCTCCCTCCCCTCTTCCCTCATCCTTATGCCTCTCTGCCCTATCCCCTCTCCCTCCCCTCTCCCTCCTCCCTTCTCCCTCCCCTCTCCTGCCTCCTCCCTCCGTCTTTCTTTCTTTCTTTCTTTCTCTCTTTCTTTCTCTCTCTCTCTCTCTCTTTCTTTTTCCCCGCTCTCTCTCTCTCTCTCTTTTTTTTGTTTTTCTCTCTCTCTCTGCCTCTAATCAGCCGCCCCCCTCTTCGCTCCTTCTCTCCTGGCGTTTTCCCTCTTCCTTCGTCCCTCCCCCTTCCTTCCTCCCGCTTTCCCTCGTTTTCCCCCCTCCTTTTTTTTCGCAGGGCCCACACCAATTCTAATGGCGGGTACATGTACGCCTGCGAAAGGTTGTCCACCCGTTCAGGTTTGCCCGCCTGTCTGAGCCCGCCCCTCCCCGCAAAGAGAAAGAATCCCCCCCAAGGGGGTGTGATCGAAGACGAAAAGGGTGGGTATCGAGGGTGTGGGGAACTCGTTCTGAATGACACACGGGCAAGTAAGAGCGAACAGTCTTAAGGTGCTTGTTTTTGTTGTTGTTGTTGCTGTTGCTATTGTTGCTGTTGCTGTTGTTGTTGTTGTTGTTGTTGACGAAACCACTAACTGGCGCCGCCCCCCCCGGCGCAACGCAACGCAACGCAACGCAACGCACGTTACCCCGAATCCTATAGGATTCCAAAGGGAACGCTATAGGGTCCCTGCGAACCTTCTAGGATTCCTAAAAACAGCCCCCAGGAATCCTATAGGGCCTCTACGACTCCTATGGGAATCCCATGGGAATCCCATATGAATCCTATGGGGCCTTGAACGAATCCTCTGGGAATCCCATAGGAATCCAATGGGAATCCCATAGGGCCCTTACGAATCCGATAAGAATCCGATAGGAAGCCTGTAGGAAACTTATAGGGCCTTTAGGATGCCGATGGGAATCCCATAGGAATCCCATGGGAATCCTATAGGGCTTTTCGGACTCCTATGGGAATCCCATAGGAATCCTTCTGGGAATCCTATAGGGCCTCTACGAAACATGTAGGAATCCTATAGGAATCCCAGGGGAATCCTATAGGGCATCTACGAATCCTTCAGGGATCCGATAGGATTCCTATGGGGATCCTAGAGGGCCTCTACGGATCCTAGAAGAATCCAATTGGAATCCTATAGGAATCCTATCGGGAATCCACTGGGAATCCCATAGGGCCTTCCCGAATCCGATTGGAATCCGGTATGATGCTTGTAGGAAACCGATAGGGCTTTTCCGGTTCCTATGGGGATCCCATAGGAATCTTATTGGGCTTCTACGAACCCAATAGGAACCATATAGGAATCCCACAATATTCCCATAGGGCCTTTACGAATCCTATAGGAATCCTACAGCAAACCTTTTAGAAATCCTATAGGGCCTCCGCAAATCTCATAGGATTCTTATAGGAGTCTCATAGGAATCCTATAGGGCTTTAACGAACCCTATAGGACTCCTATAAGAATCTGATTGGAATCCCGGAGGGACTTTACATATCCTATTAGGACTCCCGTAGGAATCATATAGGGCCTCTACGGACCTATAGGAATCCATATATATATATATATATATATATATATGAGTTACATATATGTTTAATTATATATACATATAAGTATGGTCACAAACATCTTATAGGGCCTCCACGAATCCTCCTTAGGAATCCTATAGGAATCTTATAGAAGTCCTAGAGGGCCTTAAAGAATCCTATAGGAATCCTGTAGCACTCCGACGGGAATCCTATAGGGCCTCCGCGAGTCTTATAGGAATCCGATAGGAGTCCTACAGGAATTATAGGGCCTTTACGAATCCTATAAGAATCCTGCGGGAAGCCTATAGGGCTTTTACGAATCCTATGGGAGTCATTTTTAGGAATCTTATAGGAAT